TATTATTTCTGACTTCTTCCAGAGATGGTAACTGGCAGCCCAGTTACATTTATGTTTTATTTCAGAAAGTAAAGTTCACCAAATCTCTTGCTTCCTTCTACTCCAGGCTTTCTGGAGACAAAGACAGAAACTTTTTTTCCCTTTTTTTTAAAATTATTTTTTTATCCTCACCCGAGGACATGTTTCCATTTTTTGTTCAGGTAGAGTGGGAGGGAGAGAGAGGAACAGAAGAGAGAGAGAGAAACATCGATATGAAAGGAACACATCGAGTGGCTGCCACCCACACAACCGACCAGGGCCGGGGACAAACTGCAACCGAGGTACGCGCCCTTAGCAGGAACTGAACCCGGGTCTCTCAGGACCGCAGGCCGACGCTCTAACTGCTGAGCCAAACCGGCCAGAGCTTTTTTCCCTTTCTTAGTATAATAGGTTTCACTGGAATTCCAAGGGACTGTTCTCCTAAAATGCAATTTTAATTAAAAACAAAAACAAAAACAAACTATTCTGTCTTTTCCAGACACTTAACATGCTGGCTAGCTGGTAGAAGCTCAGAAGTTCATATTCATTGATGGATAGATTCAAAATAACCTAGGCAGACTTCACTTATGGGTTCTCTTCAGTGCAGACTGGATGACCTTTTTGTTGTCCCAAGGTTGCCCCAAGTAGCTACCCTATGGGATTCCCCTACAGCTTGGTAGGAAACAACATTCTTTAGCAGTCTTCATGCAACCGGCAGGGCAATGGCCACAGCCTGCCTTTATGAGACTGACGCGCTGCCTACTGCGCTAAGAGGGCACCTGCGACACAGCCTGCCTTTAAAAGCAGGAGGCAGGGGCATTAGCTATATTGTTTCTGGATGTTGGCATAAATGTGGCCCTGCCCTGTTGTCCTTCAGAACAAAAAACTTGAGGTTGAATCCCTTTTGTTCGGTTAGATAAGGGAATGTATTGAGCTCCATGGCAAACAGACAGGAGGACTCTGACAGATAGGAAAGAGGTCAGCCCCACAGCAGGGGGTAGGCCTGGAAGTGGGTACTATAGCAACCCACTGAGAATTATCCTTCAATTAAAGGATGGTTGGATTCACTGGGTCTGCCCAGGCAAGGAACCTGGCTGGGTCTTTGTCAACTAACAGATGAGAGGCTGGTTTGCATCTGTGTGATTTGACAGTTGGGTTGTGTTCAGACTGCTCTCTGCTGTGGAGATGGCATCACTCCTGAGTCTCACTGCATGTGTGTAAATAAACCAGTGGCAGAATGAGAAGGGATGCTGTGGGAACGACTGACCCCAGGATGGGCAATAAGCAGTGAATTTCTGTGTCTATGTGTATGTAGAGAATTTTAAAACTGACTAAAAGTCAGTTTGTTTTTTTATTATTTTCATGCTCAAACAGTTCCAAAAAATATCAGTGAGCCCTGGCCGGTTGCTCAGTGGTTAGAGCTACAGCCCACCCAATGAAAGGTCACAGGTTTGATTCCTGGTCAAGGGCACTTACCTGGATTGCAGGTTCCATCCCTGACCCGGGTTGGGGGTCTTGTGGGAGGCAACTAGTCAATGTGTCTCTCTCATATTGATATTTTTCTCTCTCTTTCTCCCTCCCTTTCACTATCACTAAAAGTCAGTGGGAAAATATTCTCAGGTGACGATTAATAACAACGAAAAATGCCAGTGATAAAATATTCTTCCCTCAGAGGGGCAGACTTCCCCCTGCCACCACCTTTGTACACTGCTGGAATAAACCAGCACCAGGTGGGAAAATTATAAATCAGCAAGAGAGTAAACAGAAAGCAAATGACACCTAAGATAAGATAAAAAGAGTTTTTATTCCCCAAACTCCACTTTGTGCTATGGGCTTTTCTGTTGTTTAGCTTTATGTTTTGGTTACCTATTACTACTTTATTTACTTTTTAAAATATGTTTTTACTGATTTCAGAGAGAGGAAGGGAGAGGGATAGATAGAAACATCCATCTGCTGCCTCCTGCACGTCCCCTACTGGAGATGGAGCCTGCATCCAGGGTATGTGCCCTGACCAGGAATCAAACCAGTGACTTCCTGGTGCATGGACAACACTCAACCAACTGAGTCGCACCAGCTAGGCTTCCTATTGCTACTTTTTTAAAAAAAAATCCTCACTGAGGATATTTTATCTTTTCCCAGTGGTTTTCAGATAGAGTGGAAGGGAGGGAGAGAGGGAGGGAAGGAGGGAGGGAGGGAGGAAGGGAGAGGGGGGAAGAAGGGAGGGAGAGAGAGAAATTGATATGAGAGAGACACATTGATTGGTTGCCTCCCATGAAGGAGGATTAAACCTGCAAACCAAGTATGTGCCCTTGACTGGGTATTGAACCCATGAGCCTTTGGTCTGAGGGCCAATGCTCTAACCACTGCTCAGGGCTCTATTGCTACTTTTAAAACCACCCCATTTAGTGCCTTACAGTGACAATCATTTATTTGCTGACAATTCTGCAATGTTGGAAGGTCTCAATGAGGATGCCTCATCTCTTTTCCATGCTAGGGTTGGCACTTTTTGGTGGTTTTTTTCACTTATGTCTGATGTCTGAGCTGGAATGGGCTAAATATCTAGGGGCTGGCCAAGCATTTTGCTTTTTCTGTGTGGCCTTTCCAGTCGCTTGGGCTTCCTCACAGCATGGTGGTCTCTCTTTATGTGGCAGAGGGCTTTTCCCAGAGTGCAAAGTAATTGTTGGGCTTTCTTAATGCCTGGTGTTAGAAGTTCTAGAAAATTATTTTTGCCACATTCGATTGACCAAATCAGTCACTGTACCAGCCCACATTCAAGGGGAGAAAAAATAGACTCCACTTCAAGGTAAAGCAGATAGTGCTATGACCATCTTTGGAAGCACCATCTACCTCACGTTGTTTCCTCAATCATAACAAGGTATTGTGTGCTTTCACATTTTGCTTTTAATGGTGATAAAACTTATCAAGACAGAAAAGATAAATCTAGATTTGACTTTTAAAAATTAGACCCTAAGCCCAGGCCAGTCTGGCCCAGCGGCTGGAGCACTGGCCTGCGGACCAGAGAGTCCCAGGGTTGGTTCCTGCTAGGGGCACGTACCGCCCCCCCCAAAAAAATTAGATCCTTAGCACTGGCCAGTTTGGCTCAGCGGTTAGTGTTGGCCCGCGGACCAGAGTCCTGGGTTTGGTTCCCGCTAAGGGCACGTACCTCGGTTGCAGTTCGTCCCAGGCCCTGGTTGGAATTGTGCGGGTGCAACCAATCGATGTGTCTCTCTCACATCGATGTTTCTCTCTCTTCCTGCCACTCTATCTGAAGATTAATGTAAAAATGTCCTCGGGTGAGGATTAAAACATAAATAAATAAATAAATAAATAAATAAATAAATAAATAAAAATTAGACCCTTATAATTATCATCATGCCTTGGTACTGAATAGAAAGATGGTCTCTTCATGGATTCCTAAGGCACAAGAGAGGCTAGGACTCCAAACATAGCAATGACATTTAAGAGAAAATATCAGGATGAGCTCAATTTGCTGAAACCTAAAATCCAAAGCATGCTCAATTCTGTGAGATTGTTCAGTCCACAAGTTACAGGCTTGGTCTACCTCCTGAGAAAAAGTCAAATGGCCACCATATTTTGGTTATTGTTTCTGGGTGTCAGATAATCCCCTGTGCTTTAATTTACATCATTTAAAACCAGTATTGTTGGAAATAGAGTGACCGCAGGATTCTTGTGAGCGTCAGAATGTGAGTCTTTAGATGCTGTGATGTATGCTATATCTGCTGAAGGTTGCTATACATTTATCCTGGGTCAGAGAATTCATGTAAGTCAGAACAGAATCCACAGAGAGCAGGTATTCATCAACATGACTCCGGTGCCTTTGTCAGACACAGCTAGTCCATCTGTACGCACACATACCTTTGGTTTGGAAAGCATTTTCAAGCCCACTGTCTCATTTCTTCTCACTATAAATATTCAGGTGAGCAGGTAGCCCATGTGTGAACAACCACAGTTCGCATGTACAACAGAATAGAAGTCATAACCTCCCTGGGTCACTGGAGAGCTGAGATGCAGAGCCTGGGGAAGCAGCTCTCCTAACTCTTCCTCCAGAGTTTCTCCAGGGTTCTCCTGTCTGCTGGAGCAGCGGGCCCTGCAGCTCCTGTCCTCTGGGCCTGCAAGGCCTGCTTTGATAGCCCCTTCTGCCTGGCCCTCCCATAGGTTGAATCCTGAGCCCTTGGGCAAATTCAGTCAGCATCTAGTATCGACTACCTCAGCAAGGTGGGGCCTGGCTCCCGATCTTTAAAAGGTGGTTGGGTGGCCTGGCATCCTCCACATCTGAAGCCCAGACTTTCCTTCCAAGGCCAAGAAGTGGGCCTGCCGGACTGTGCCACGTCTACGGTTTTACCCTACATCGGCCTGAGTGGGCCTCTTGGGGTCTTTTGGCTCCATCACTCTCAATGCCCTTAATTTTCCTCTCACAGCAAAAAAAAAAAGAAGGTTTGAATCCCCTTATGCCATAAACCCTTGGCCAAAGGAGAAACTGGGGTCGGGAGTCCCTCTCGCCCTTCGCGTTCTTCCTCACACTCCCGCGGGTTCCCGTTTCTGTACCCGCGGCCCCTTCTCTGCTGTCCCCAAGTCACCCAGTGCCAGCCCCACCACACCCCATTCTTCCTCTCTTCCGCTCGCCCCTCTAGTCACCTCCTGGCGCCCGGCTTTTGTTGCCCGGGCTTGTTTCTAACTTAAGAGTGTCGCCCGGCTCGGCGCCAGGTCACGTGCGTTAGTGACAACCTCTCGCAGGGCGGCCCCGGGGCCCCCGCGCCGCCGATTGGTGGAGCCGGGCCTGGCGCGGCCCGGGGGCGGGGCCGGCGGCGGGCGGAGCTGCCGATCAGCTGTTCCGAGCGCTGCACAACAACAAAAGGAGCGAGACGGGCCGGCAGCGGCCAGCGGCGCAGCAACAGGAGGGCCGGCCGGGCCCCGCGCTGCTGTCCCGGAGCCGCAGCTACCTCAGCAGCCCCGCGCCGCGCCGCCTGTCCCCACAGAGCGAGGCGCTGCTGCTTGGCCGCCGTCCGCGCTGCAAGTCGGGCCCACGTAAGTGCGGGCGGGGCCGGGGCCGCGTCCGCTCGTCCCGACCGCCGGGGCGGTGCTGCCCTGACCCGCGCGCCCTGCCCTCGGGCCGCGGCCAGCGCGCTCCCAGGACTCCTGCTGCTTCTCCTCGCCGCCGCCGGCCGCCCATTCCCTCGGCGGGCCACGCGACCCCGGGTGCGGGCAGAGGCGGCCTCGCGGGCTTGGGCCGGGCCGAGCCCCGGCGCGGGGTGGCGGTTGGGTGTTTGGTTTCTGCCACTCCCCCCCTCCCCTCCCTCGGCGTTGCCCTGTTTTCTTGGCCGCGGCGGGACCTCCTCCTCCTCCTCACTCCCCTCCACTCCTCCTGCACTTGGCCGTTGGTCTGGGTTTGCCCGCCTGGGGGCTCCTGGCCGCCGGCCTGGGACTCGTCCCTTCCTCCGCGCCCCCGCACCCCCCCCCCCCGCCCTCCGTCGGCGCTCCAGGCCCTGGGTCGCACTCGGTAGCACCGTGGGCCCTGCGGCTCCCGGAACCCGGCGACTGCCGCCAAAGTGTCCTAAGTGCCTACCTATCCGTGGCGTGTTCCTGCTGGTTCTTACACATCACTGTTTGAGGTTGCACCTGTGGAAAGAGCATTTTACTCACCCATCATACATAGTTAAAGTCCTAATCATTTTAATGCTCGCCAATTGAGGGTTTACTATGTGCCATATCGTATGCTGAGTGTTTTACCTCATTATCTTATGGAGAGGAAACTCGAGGCCCAGAGAGACTAAGTAACTTACACAAGGCCACACAGCCAATTAAAAAGAACACGGTGTTTTCTCATTCAAAGATGGAGATGAATTTTTAAGCGAGGGTTCCTTGTTTTTGTTGTAGTTCCTAATTATGTCTGCTCATTATCTTCTGTTAATTCCAATTTAAAGTAGATTAAGGAAGAGCCCCTTTCCATCTGTAACTTCCAAAGACTTGGACATATCTCACTAAAAGTAAAACTTTTCTGAATATAAAGTAGTTTTGGGAAAGGGGGGGGGCAGCGACCTGTGGGGGTTACTGAACAGAAGTTATAATGATCCTGATATAGCTTGCTTGGTAATTGAAATACATTTTTCTTTGCTTGCAGCCACTGTAATTCTGAACTGGCAGCATAATTTTCAAAGGCCCCTGCCTGGAACCAGTGTCTTACTAATTTCTGTGACCAAGGTCTTTTGTTTTTTTTCATTCTATCTTTTGTTCTCTTCTGTGACTGCTCCTTCATATTTCTCTTGGGAATGGCCCTACTTCCAAAATTCAAGGTAAACAGGCTATGAATTACCACCTATTGCTGTCTTTGTCCACTGTTATCCAGCTTCAGGGCTGACACTGGTGGGTCACTGGAAGAATGACCTGCTTATAGCTAGTTGAATAAGGGTTCTAGTGGAACAAGTAACAACAAACAGCTTTCTTGCTTGATTTTTCTGAAGTTTAAAATAGATTTTAAATTACTCAAATCAGCATTTTTGTTTCTAAACTAGTGAGGGGGGCAGGATATAGAGAAAGATAATTTTGAGGCCTCTTTTCAATGAGGATGTGTTAGTTTAGCTACCTGGTATTTCGAAACTGTCAAGAAGCCACATCTGTACATATAGAAGTTAGGTCATCCAAGTTGTGGGATTTTTATTTTTTTATGTTGTTTTTGGAGCCGCCTGCTGGCAGCCAAAACCAACTGAAAAGTGCGATTCTCTGAAGTTCATAGAGCCAGAGTTGAGGCTGGAAGGAGCCTGAGAGATCATGTGCACTGAAAAGCAATGTGCTTGGAACCAGACAGACTTAGGCTCTAATGTCAACTCCACCCCTCAGTGGCTTTGTCATTTTGAGCAAGTTACTTAATTTCTGAGCCTCAGTTTTATTATTAGTACAGTGGGACAAATAAGTACCTCAAGTCCCTGTCACATACAATAAGCATTCAGTAAATTGTAGTTCTAAATATTATATAGTAAATTGTAGTTCTAAGTATTATATAAACATTTTTCAGATAAAAGACACTCAGATCCAAAGATGCTAAGTTACTTGCTCATAATCAACAACTGGCTTGGAATGAATTTAATATTTCCCAGATGTGCCAGGTGCTATTTTACATGATACACACGTAATCTTTTTAATCCCCATTTCAGGGGTGAGAAAACTGAGGCCCAAAGAAGTTACTAAATATCCTAAGTTCACACAAGATGCAAATAGCAGAACACAAACACAGCAGGCTGACTCCAGAGCCGTGCTGTGTCTAGGTTGGTGCTGTCTCAAAAATGAGAAGCCAACAAGCTCTTCCAGACTAGTAACCATTTCTATGTTCTCAAACTAGGATGCTCTTCCCCATAGTATCAACTCAGCCATCTTTCTCTGCTCACAGAGTATTCTACTCATGTAATAATAAGCAAAACATTGATGATGAAATGTTAAGTAACAAAGCAGGATACAAAATTGTGCATTCACTAGACTACAACTAATGATAAAAAGAAACGTGTAGAAGGAAAAAGCTAAAGAAAAATGTGCAGAATACTAACAATGGTTGCAACAAGATGTGGAATAATAACTATTTTCTAAACTTTCTGTAATGTGATTTAATTCATTTTATAATGAAAAAGACATTTTTAAAGGGCATATTTTGAGCCTGGGTCACAGGGACAAAGCTGCCTTTTTGAAATGCTGGGGCCCAAACAGACACTTTGTTTCTTTTCTCTACTGGGGTGAGCCAGCTCAGCTGAGGTTGGTTAAGGCTGAAAGCTTGCAGGTGCCCCAAAGAAAAGCAGCGCCACCGGCCTAGGCTTCTTTGCCTCTACCTCTTTACTAAATTCAGAGCTGTGTTTGTAAATTTGCCCTCAGGAATTTCACTTTAGTTTTATCATTGCTCTAGAGTTGTGAATATCAAAAAAATCAGTGATATGTGGTGAGGAGTGAATGAAGTCTGTTCTGCTTTGCCCTTTAGTTCCACATAGAAGCAGCCCAGTGGAGATCCTGTGTTTCTCAGTGGGAGCCAAAGTCAAGAGCAGGAGTGACTGGATAGGGATAGTCCCTGGGTCATTGGGAAGATAGACAAGACTCCATTCTGTATCCTTCCCACTAGACTTCAACAGTGACTCAGGAGAGAGGAGGATGAGCTCTTCTCTTGCCTGGCTGGGCTCCTAACACTGCACACCTGAGGTTGGTTTGCCCTTGCAGGAGGCATGGGGCATCTGGAGACAGCCTCTGACTGCAGGAAACCAAAAGAAGATTGACTTGTGCTGCCTCATGGAAAGCTCCTCTGGAAGCACCATCCTGTGATAGAGTTGTATATGTTCCAGGATAAGCTGGCTTTCATCACATGGGTTTGGAGCTTTAGCAAGAGGGGCAATTTGCAGTTGGGAACCCAAAGCTATGGGAACCTAAAGCTGCCTGACCCCAGTGGCCCCAGCAATGTTTTCTGACTTGTAGCTGCCACGTATCTGACGTGGGCCCCCATGTGGCATTATAGTTGGAGAACAAGGTGTTCATTCAGGAGGAATAAAGGTTTCTCTGTGGGTGTGTCCTCTCCTCCCATCCCCGAACCTCCAGCTTCCTATCTGGTGCAGGGCCTGCACCCAGCCCAGTGCTCTGGGGAACTGGGATTAGTCTCTCAACTGGTTCAGCAGACAGAAATATACTTGGGGCCAATATCTGCCTCCATAGTTTAAGATAAATAGGGAAAAGATTTTGAAAATAACTTTTTTCCTTCTAGCTTGTATATTCAAAACCTTATTTACATCAAACCTTGTGACAGTTCATCTTTTGGAATATGTGTCACACCACAGTAGGTCACGCAAACTACATAGCCCACTTTTTTTCTAACTTCTCGTACATGGGACATAAAGCTGAATTTGAATTTTCATACTAGAGCTCCAGCCCTCATTATTTGGCTATGTTGCTTTCCAGAAGGGTTTCAGAAAGACTGGTTATGCAAGTGACACTTCCTGTTTACCCCCTTTTAATATATAATGGCTGAGGGTGATGGGTTGGAACACAAAAGTATTCAAATATCATTGATTTTAAGACAAATTCCTAGTACTACACAGGCCTAGTAGCATGCCAAACAACTATAACAGTCCAATTTGCACATAAAAAATTTAACCAGGAGTCTCATCATCTACAGAGCCTAACTACATTTACAGCTGAAGATGATTGCTCTGAAAGTGAAATGTCAGCCCTGGCTGGTGTTGCTCAGTGGTTAGAGCATCATCCTGCACATTGAAAGGTCATGGGTTCGATTCCCATTCAGGGCACATACCCAAGTTGTGGGTTTGATCCCTAGTCAGGGCATGTGCATGAGGCAACCAATTGATGTTTCTCTCTTGCATCATGTTTCTCTCTGCGTCTCCCTTCGTCTCTCTAGAATCAATGAAAAACATATCCTCAGGTGAGAATTAAGAAAAAATTCTGAAGTTATGGATTCAAGGCTCATACTCATAAGAAAAAGAAATGTTGTTTAGTAAGGCACTTTTCATTATCCCTGGATGATATTATTCACTCTTATGGTTTCTGTCACCCACTTTGTATTGACAAGTCCCACGTCTGTGCCCCCAGCAGAGACCGTGCTCTTGAACTCCAGAGCTCTATATTCAACTGCCTAGTAGACATCTCCAGGTACATGACTTAAAGATTTCCCAAATTCACCCTGTCCAAAATGCCCTACCTGCACCTTCTGCAGTATTCCTATTCCATTAAATAGTCTCACCATCCTCCCAATTGGTCATGTCATAAGCCTGGGTCATCCTTGACTTTTCCCTCCCCTTAACTTCTGACTCCTCCCCACCCCCAGCCTGCTCTCACAACTGTCCATCTGAATCTTGAGCCATACCAAAGGGGCCTCATTCTCAGTGGCAGGTTTCCACAGTGTTTCTTCTCCCATTCCTCTATTCTTGATCTTCTCAATCATTCAAGATTAAATTCATTTATTGAAGGAGTCCTTTCCCTGACCTCTACCTGGGTAGTTCTGAGTGACACCCAGTACTTCCATGACATATATCACACTGATTGTCACACTCACCATGGGAGGGCTTTATTTACTGCTGTCTTCTCTGCTTTTAGCACTACACTTGATGCAATAAATATTTGTAGAATAATAGTTGCTATTAACTGAGAACTGTGTGCCAAATGCCTTGCCAAGTAGGTCACCTTCATTATCTCATTTTATAAGAGTAGGCCCAAGGGAGACCTAGGAGGTAGAGATTGGCAGAGTCTGGAGAAACACCAAAAAGGTTGGCTTCAGCTAGGATGGTGGAGGGAAGTAGGTGGATTGAGCTACACATGCAGCTATTGTCAAGAGGACTTGCTGATAGTTTGGAGGAGTGGTGGGGTAGGGAGCAGGGAGGATGGCCAAATTTAAAAGAAGCCAAGGGTAACTGCTAGGTTTCAGGCCTGAATACTGTTAGGTGCTGCTGCTTCTCCTTACTGAGAATGGGATGAAGGACAGTGCATATGTTTGTGGGGAAAAAACTAAAATTTCTCTTTGGTATGTGTTAAATTTTATATGCCCTTCAGGTAATCAAGGAGAAATGAATATATAAATCTGGAACTCTGAAGTTCCTCATTTAAAGCTCACCAGAACTCCCTGAGGTAGAACTGCTGCCAGCTGAGATGGTGTAACTTCCTAGCTCACAGAGGGCGGAAGCAGCAGAGCCAGCTCTGAACCCAGGCACACTGATTACTTACTGCTTGACACTACACAGTGAAGGGTTGTTTTTACCTTAGTTTCCTACAGTGTAAATTTTTCCATGCTAGCTGAGGAATTGTTTTGAAGGTCAAAGTATGCTGTACTTGCAGATTTTAAATGTAATTAGGTATTCTTATAGTCACAAGAAGTACAGAGTACAAGAGAAAATGAACCAGAGAAAGATGAGGACCTGGCATAGGAGGGTCACTGGGCACTATTGCTGAGTTCATTTGGCAGCTTCTGGGCAATTGAGTATCATATTGCAAGACTGTTAATATCTAGTGTTTGCTCCTCTACTTACAGAAAAGCAGTATTGCAATTTGAAATTATTTAAATTTATAAGAAATAAATTCCAATTTATCCCTTACTGTAAAAATAGATGTGAAAAAGAACCAACTCTATCCTTTTTTTATTTTTGCAATTCTCCAATAATGTTTTTATTCACAATGCTTTGTCCTTTTAAAAAAAATGAATTCTAGAATGAATTACAATTTTATTTAAAAGAAATAGTTCCTAATTCATATGATAAATGGCCAAATTTCTGTTTTGGATTTGATGCTGCATTAAGTGCAGAACAACTAAAATGAATGGCATTATCCCTGCCCTCAAGAATCTGTCACTCTGGTCACAGATATAAATTGTTCTGATGTGTGATAAAGGGCTCTTCTATGTCAGGATGGGTCTGGGAGTGAGAGGTGACATGGAAACTTTCCAGTCCAGAGGCACAGCTTGCATTGAGCTGTGTAAGTAAACTCTGTAATCACTGAATGAATCCACATTTAATTTTTTTATTTTATTTTTCAATCACAGTTTACATTTAATATTAGTTTCAGGTGTATAGCATAGTAGTCAGATAGTGGTATACTTTACAAAGTGGCCCCCAGATATTTCAGGTACCCACCTGGTACCATACATAGTTATTACAATATATTGACTACATTCCCTGTGCTGTACTTTACATCCCCATGACTATTTTGTAACTACCAAGTTGCACTTCTAAATCCCTTCAACTTTCTAACCCAGTCCCCCAACTCCCCTCCCCTCTGGCAACCATTAGTCAGTTCTCTATCTATGCCAACTCCTTCCTTTTTATTTCACATTTTAAGATATTTACAGGTTGTATTTGAGTACTCATTTATGTTTTGTAAATAACACATATTGCAGTTCTTATGTCTGGCTCCTACAGAAAAGGAACAGCTATAACTGAAAAGACATGTGCTTTCTTTTAAGGATGGGTGTGTATGTATATGTGTACTTTATTTTTTAAATCCTGACCCAAGGATATAGGTTTTGTTTTGTTTTGTTTTGTTTTGTTTATTCTTAGAGAGAGAGAAACATTGATGTGAAAGAGAAACATCAATCAATTGTCTCCCATATGCACCCTGACAAGGGATCGAACCTGGAACCTGGTATGTGCCCTGAGGGAATAGAACCTATAACCTTTTGGTGCACGGGATGACACTCCAACCAACAGCCACCTGGCTGGGGTTGTGTGTGCACTTTTAAAACCACACAAACATGTAAAGAGATGCTGATTTGAAATAACCTTATTTTTTAATTTGTTTTATTTTAGGGATAATGACTATTCTTCTCACCTAAACTGAATAAGCACCTTGTGCACTTTAATCTCCTGTCAGTGCCATCAGGCTGGCTGAAGACAGGGTTTTGAAATCTCAGATATAAAGACATCCAGCCAAAGTCTCAATCTTGCCTTAACAATGTTCCAGAGACTGAATAAACTGTTCGTGGGTGAAGACAATACTTCTTCCAACCAAGAACCAGAATTTAGTGAGAAAGAAGATGATGAATGGATTCTTGTTGACTTCATAGGTAAGGTATCCTCTGCCGTTAATCATCACAGCAAAAGTGGAAATACTTGCATCTCGGTTTTTACATAAGTAAATCAGTAATTTTGAAGGTTTTTAAGACTTAACAGTAAATAAACAAGAATTTGTATTTAAAAATTGCAGGAACATCCTGTGCCAGGTGAATAGTCAGTGAAATTGATTGACGTCAGACTTCCCAGTTTTGCAACTCTTACACCCTGATCAAATCAGGGGCACTTTAATAGAAAACCCTCAGATTAGACAAGATATGGCTTGTTATATGTTTACTCAGTAGAACAGAAAACCTTACTGGAAAGCCAACATAATCCATCCCATACAGTGATACACCACACAGTGCTCAGAAATTATTTTATATTTGTTATGAGTGAATATAAATGGTTTTATTTCTGACCTAATAAAGAAAAGCATGTGCCCTGGCCGGGTAGCTCAGTTAGTTAGGGCATCATCCCAATATACCAAGGTTGTGGGTTTGATCTCTGGTCAGGGCACATACAAGAATCAACCAATGAATGCATAAGTAAGTGGAACAAAAAAATCGATGTTTCTTTCTCTCTCTCTTCCTCTCTCTTTCTCTTCCTCTCCTTCCTTTTCTCTCTCTCTAAAATTAATTTAAAAAAATAAGAAAAGGAGGAATGTGAGCATCAGCTAATAGCAGCATCTCTCTCTTCTTTTTCTGTGCTCTGATGTGATATCAATGTGACGCTCGTCCTCCTGTGGGACTTCAATAACACACGTGGACACCAATCCAGACACTTGCACTGGTTTGTCAGCAATAGAAGATGAAGAAGAAGACATCAGTGAAGAGTCACCTACTGAACATCCTTCAGTCTTTTCCTGTTTACCTGCATCTCTTGAGTGCTTGGCTGATACAAGTGATTCCTGCTTCCTCCAATTTGAATCCTGTCCAATGGAAGAGAGCTGGTTTATCACCCCTCCACCGTGTTTCACTGCAGGAGAATTAACCACTATCAAGGTGGAAACCAGTCCTATGGAAAACCTTCTCATCGAACATCCCAGCATGTCTGTCTATGCCGTGCATAACTCCTGCCCTGGTCTCAGTGAGACCAGCTGTGGGGCCGACGAATTTCATAACCCAAGTAGTCCCGGGTATGTCATGTTGGACTCTCTCCACAGGCATTCTGTTTAGCGTGCATTTTGTTTATTTCTACTATTCAAAGCTAAGTTTTTAGAAGATGCAAAAGTAATTTCATTAGAGATTTATGAAAATATGTGCATAGTGCACAAGGCAGTTGCTGGTGTACAAAACTTGATCAGTTTACATTTTCAAAAAAGTTCTGTATCCTCACAACCTGTTTTTTTAATTGTCTTCAAAGCACTTGTTAACATTTCATCACATTTATTCATTGTATATGTATATATACTTACATATATTATCATTTTGAAGAAAGCAAGTAGCTGACATGCTGAGTACTTTTTGGTAGTAAACACTTAAGGGAAGAGGATGATTTTATAGGAAACAAATGACAATCAAATATAAGATACCATGAAAAAAGAAAAAATTGTAGCATGGTCCAGTTATATAATTGAGAGCCATCCTATTATAATATTCTGCTAATCAGTGGAAAGAAAAGAGTTGCATTTCTGCTAAGTATCTTAGAATATAACTCTGGCACTATACAGGCTGGATTATTTGAGGAGATCAAATTTGACAAGAATAGTATGTCTTAAAATAAAACTCTTATTTTCTTCCAAGTAGTTCTAGCTAGGTCACATCAAATGGCTCCTAACCTAGGAAACCTGAGAAATCTTACACATGAAGTAAAATGACAGTTTTACCAAAGAGTTGTTTTCTGCCTTACGAGGAAAGATTTCATACCCAACAATGTTTTGTTGATATATGGGTGGGAGGAGTCTGAAAAGCTGTTTCAATGCCAGGGGGGTTGAAGGCCTAGAAAGGTTCAAGGAGAGTGCCTGGTCAGTGAAGTTTGATATGTTCCAAAGCAAACTTATAGACATTCTGTGGCTTTTGTCCAGGGAATATATGCAAGATTGCTCCTCCCTCTAAAAGCCCATGGCAGTGTTCATTAGCTCAAAGTCTGGCTCGTCCATGATATGTACATTAATAGAAGGTAAAGTATTCTGGGGCTGCCCGGACTTCCATAATTCCCTTAATACCTATCAAGGGTAGGGTGAATTTGAGTGTTTGGAGCAATTCAGAATATTCCTGTAGTTAGTGCTGTCATCCAAAGGGCCTCTTTATGGATTTGTCCAGTCTCTGACTCTACAAGCTAGACTATTGTGTATATCTTTTATTTCCTGTTTGCCAAAGATAAACAAAGCCCAGGCAGCTCATTAATTTGTTAACTTTGCCAGAGTTTGATTCACTCTTAAGTCTCAATATTATAGATTATCTTGAATGAAGATAAACATATGCTTGTACCAAATTTAAAAACAATTTGCTTATATAGTTACCCAGGCTTTCTACTAGGTAAGATCTTTGATGGGAAATGTTACTTTAACTGGCACTTTATTCAATGCTATAAGTTTATCAAGAGGTCAGTGTTTCAGGCATTCCAACAAAAATTTACAATATAATTTTTTGGAGGTGATACTGATTTAATTGCTTTATACTTAAGTTAATTCTTTCAGTTCCAAAATATTCTTCCTCTTTCTGATCTCATCTCTGAGGAATTCTATTCAAAAATTTAGCATGATTAATAGTCACTTTAAACTTACTGCCATTTGTACATATACTTTTCAGTATTGTGTTTATGTGTGTATTCAGCAGCTTTGTAAATAATATTAAAGAAGCATTACATATGCATTGCAGCAAATTTGAAAATGCAAATATGCAAAAATTTAAAATGACATTCTCACTAACCAAAGATGAATACTTCTGAGACCCTAGAGTATAGCCTTCCAGGTTGTTTTATTGTTTTTCTTATATGTTCTTGTACAGGCATGTGCACACACATATACACCATTTTTAACCTAAATGGGATCAAGCTACATATGCTGTTTTATAATCTGCTTCTTTGGGCAATGATTTCCACCTTTTTTTTTTTTTTAAGTAAAATTTCACTTGATCTGCTACACAGACCATGCTTAGATTTCCTCACTGGAGCCCAGAATATTCCATCTAGTTTGTATAAAGCAGCATCCAGTCCAGGACCTTGCACTGCATCTGGTTATGTGTTTGTAGTTTTGATGCAGTGAGTGTAATTTCTTATATCTAATTTGTTTTTATATCTTGTTATGTTTTGATATAACATATAGGGAAGTTAAATATGTACTTTTCCATATATAACAGTTCAAAACAACACATTTAACTTTATGTGAATTCTTTCTGAACATAAGAAAGAACTGAAATTATGATAAATAAAATCTTTTTTTTTTAATATCCTTATTTTTGGATTTGAAATTCTTATAAGGCCCACCAAATCAAGATAGAAATTAGGTGTTACCAAAATTAGGAGAATGACTCTGTAGTAATCTATATTTTCTGAGCAGGAAATAAATCATGTCTTTCAAAAGTTAGATCATTTCCAACCTATCTATCCTTGGAGATATTACCACAATGCACAACAAAGTAAGGTGCTTTATAATTACAGATGAGCTTCAAGTGTGTGTGTTAACTTTTTTATAAATACTATAATCTTAAATTAAGTAATATAAATGCCTTTAATGACCCATATAAAACAGTTAAAATAAAAGTTGACTACATCCTAACAGTAAAATTAAATAGCATTTTAAATCTTATTAGTGACTTAATAGTTCACCATTTAACATTTGTAGGGCCAGGAAAAGCTGCTTATAGGACTCGCTGGCACAGAGTAAGTATATTCCCTTTGAGACTGTGTGATATGTGTTATCAGTCTGAGCAGGGAGGTTAAGGACTCAAGGTGCCACCTTTTAAAAACCAGTCTTTATTTTAACTTCTATTTATTAGTTCCTTAATGTGACCTGTTTCAATTCTACTCTTTATAAATATATTTAAAAAGAATGGTGTTTTCCTCTAGTAATTACAGACAGAATATATAACTGTCCTTCCTATGTAAAATAACCCTTAAAAATCTTAAAACTCTTCATGTTATGTGTTAATATCGTTTAGATATATCCTATTTTATTAGCTTTAATCTAGAAAACATATATTGGTTTGCTGCCAAGGGTCTTTATAACATTGCTATGCAAATACCATTCCAAAATGTGCCATGTGTGATAAAATAATAAGCAGGGTGTTAAATGAGTAGATTTTCCTTATGCATATCTTTATTAAATACAGATATAAACCTTGTTTCCTAGAACATTTTACTTATAGTCGGAAAACGTCTCTGAAAGTGCTTTGCCACAATGCACCAGCATTCACCCTGCTTCACGACCATAGTCCTTTGGAGTAGGATCTGTGTTAGAATCCTGGTTAAGTCAGTTAATAACTGTGACCTTAACACATCTCTGAGCCTTGGATTTCTGTTCAGTAAAACTTGGAAATCAAAATATTTTCCTTTTAAGATCATGGCTTGAATTAAAATAACATACATAGTATTTGCAAAGTAGTTGGCAGATGCAGATATTCAGTTAATGTTAGTTTTTCTCCCAAGCATATGTGAAATGTGTTTGCTTTGTAATTGAAATTTACTCAAAGTGTAAAGCATTTTTTACTTTAAAAAATGGTCCACTTAGTTAACCACCTGTCAATTATATGGCATATTTCTATGAAAAGTTGGCTGCTGCTTTCTACCACTATCAGTCAGAATGGTCACAAAATATAAACTTGTCTGTCAGCCATGAGATACTAAGCTCTCATTCAACCATAAATTAGTGTGGCAAACTGAATTGCTGAGTCCCTTTTCAGTTTCATTAGTAACATACTCTGTTATGTAATACATCCCCCTTTCTTCTGTTTCAGAGTGGAAGCTCCAAATGAAGTGGGGCCACACATTCACTGCTATGTTGCAGCTGTTGCTGCTCATACAGCTTTTCTGGAACAACCCAAGAGCTTTCGCCCTTCCCAATGGATGAAAGAACACAGTGAAAGACAGTCTCTGAACCGAAATAGCCTTCGTCGCCAAAATCTTACCAGGGATTGCCACTCTCGGCAAGTCAAGCACAATGGCTGGGCTGTCCATCAGCCCTGCCCACGTCAGTACAATTACTAAGAATTTCAAGTTTGGTTGGTTGATTTCTCTTGGTTTGTACATGTGTGTGGATGTGTGTGTTTGGATGTGAAGTTTCTTTACAGCCACTTGATGACCAATCACATAGTAGATTTATCAGTGTGTTTAGACACTATCTTGAAAACCAGATCTACATGCTGTGTATCACATAATGCCTTGCTCTTAACATTTACTTTTATGTAAACTTTTTCAGAGTATTTTTGGAAACATATCAATACAGTTACAGTGTTTGGTGTTTGGGGATGTCTTTAAATCTATTAAAATGTACATGAGTTAGCATTTTAAAGACATTTCTTCTCAAGTATGAGAATAGGCATCTTTCAGTTTCATTTTATTTTGTATTACTTAATCAATCTTTTGAGTAAGCAAAAATTTATTCTCAGGGTCAGCCATACACTTTATTGACCAGTACTTGATAATCTTTTCTGTATATAATGAATACATTTTTACACACTAACATGAGCATTAACAGGTTATAGTTGCCATGGTTATAATGGAATTATGGCTGAATTTTCTTTTGAAAGAAAACTTGATATATTTCTGTGTGTATGTTTTTTTTTTCCAAGATTAGCCATGCAGTTCATTTTGGAATTCAGGTACATTAAGTGTTAGTGAACAGCGCATTCAGTAATTCTGATGTGACTGTGTGACGTGGTACAGACATTACAGATATCATGAGACGAAAGCACTTGTCTCACGTGCAGAGGGATTAAATCAGACCTGTGAAATTGTATTTGGAACAGTGTATGTCCATAACTACCCCATTAGTCCACTATTTAAGTTGTTGGGATTCTTTCCTGCTAGCTCTGCCTACTCACCACCTCACATCAGCTGTAAATTCAGAAGTACTTGTCCAGGCATTTGAGTGACTTTGTATTTATATCTGCCCAAGGGAAAAGTGATAGGCTTTATATTTCTGATATAGTGATAAATCCTTTGCCATGGAACCTATCCTGCCAAGTGGCGAGCAAGGATGAAGGGAAATTCCTGGTCATACCTTATAGTGGTGTCTAAATGAAGAGTGACAGTTTGGCTTCCTTGAGTTTTCATTTTTTGTTTTAAGTGTGGCTTCTGGCAAAATCTTTAACCACTTTGGCCTGTTTTCTCCACAAACAGGAGAGCAGTAATAGTTACCTCCCCTCACAGTTGTTGTGAGGACCATTTCCTGATTTCAAGTGGGGCTATGCAGAACTGTACCATGTGTGAAATTCCAAGGGCCTCTCTGCTGAATCTAGTGATGGGGATGGGGCCTGTGGCAGTTTTTCTACCACGACTGTTCTTCAGTGTTGGTGCTAATAAGGCCAGAGTGCAGAGTTTGATGCCCAGGGATGCCAGGGAGATTAGGTTAACTCGACAGGGAGAAGATCTATTTCTTACCTCTAGCCAGTCACTTTATTTTTCATCGGTTGTGATGGGTTTTGCTGAGCCATCCACACTCTCACTGATTTCTTCTGAAATTAAGTTAAGCATATTTACAATCCAAAGCACATTCTGCTGACAGAATGGTAGTATCATCTTCAAAATCAAATAGCTTCTTTTCCCATCTCTTCTGAAACCCTAATTAAATAAGTACACGTCTCTACAATGTTTCAAGGGGGAAAGCAGCATATAGTTATGTGAAGTATTATTATATTTCTCAGTAACTTTGTAGCACTTAATGTGGAGAACTATGGGAGACTGATTTTTCCAGTGAAGAGCTGTGCTCTTTTCTGACGAGACTGGGATGTTTGGAGTCAGAAACGGTCAAATAGTGTAGTTAGATGGTGGCGGTAGGTTTTTCTTCCACTGGCGTTGATGAAGTGCCAGGAATGTCTCTTTAGAACAAGAGTCTAGATCCCCTTTTTTCCTTATTCCCTTTCCATTTCAACTACCCCGTTATTTATTTTTTTTCTAATTAGGGGCCAAGTCTGTAAAGTTTTGTCAAAGTAAGTTAGAAGTTATTTTGTTACTATTTGTGTTTACCTGAGTTGGGAGATAAGGTAGAGTTTTCATGAGGGTGTGTGTGTTTTTACATCATGTCTGTTATAGGGCCATATATTGGTAACTTGAAAATAGACCAGCTAAATGTTTTCTTGATATAAGCCTCTGAATACATGGGCGTCTCATTTTTATATATTACATGCAAGTTGTTGTTAGTACCTCACGAGCTATAGAAGTTCAGCCATGAGAATTTGTTTGGCAGCGTGAACAGATTTCTATATAAAACTGCAGTGGTCCTTTTTTATTTTATTTTATTTTTTCAGATTTCCTGATATCTTAAATACATTTACATCTCTTTCAGTTATTGCCTTTTTGTTTTCCTTATCTGGGCCTAATTTTTTATGCTTTGTTCCTGGAAGACAAATGATTTCAGTCTTTGGGATGTTTTTTTCAGGTCTGTGATGTGATATATTGTGGTTTCTGTCTAAAATTGGCACATATAAGAACTGAAGAAAGTAGTTACATAATTCAGTTGAAGTTCTTGGTTGTTAGATGTTTGTTAGGCATTTGCTATGTGCAAGACATGTTAAGTATTCTTTGAAACATGGCCAAAATATAATTTATTATAAATTAATTATTTTTGCTATTGTAAATATTAGTGGTTTACAATGTTCTTTAGTGCATATTTCTTAAAATTCACACAATGAGAAATAAGACCCCTTTGAATTTAGTGCTCTGACTGTTTCTAAACTGATAATATAGAATGTTACTTGGAAAAAGTCTGGAATATGTGGTATATACAAGCAGTGCTTATGAGTGAGTTTCTTAGTTTTTATAATGCACCATGTTTCTCAAAGTTTGTGTTCTCATTAATAAAACATTTTACAATGTATATCCTATGTTTATTACTTCTTCCTCAACTAACTGAATTATGTACTGCACTGTAAATTGAAGATTAACCAGAATTAATTTATCTTCTGTGGCAATGCATTTATATAGTTGGCTGAATGGGGAATTTTTTACAGAAGGTGCAAAGTGTTTGGATTTTTGACTTCCTATTCTAGGGAGCTTGTTAAACATTAACTTTCTGTCCTTTTTTCCAGTTTACATGCAAACTGCTCCTTTTTACATACCTTCTCTGTTGTGTCAGTACTCTGATTCTAGTAAGAAGACAGTTTACTTAAAACTTGAAAGAGCCACTTAGCATTGCCTATTGTTTTTGTTTTCAAATCTATGTAGCACATTGGTTGGTAATCTTTACATTTTCACTGAATCTGACTTTGCTATTTCTCTTCCTCCTCAAGGAAATATATTGTCTTTATATCTTTTTAAGAGAAAAGAGCAAAGAAGAATATCTTATCCTCATTTTCTTGAGTTGGAAACAAGCAAAAAATGAAGAACTCTAACTAGAACATAGACATTTAAACTTAAATAGATTAATGGGGAAAGTTTAGGAATTTCCAAGTATTATTTTTTGTTTTTAGAATCAGTTAAGAGACTGCTCCTTGTACTGGAGATACTAGCATATGTTTGTAATGTTACCTTAAAATTATCTTATTTTAAAAGGCCCATCATAGATTAAATTCTTTTAAAAGTGGGGATACTATCATGGATGTTTCACTGCCATCAGCCATGTTGATGCATTATAAATGGCATCCTTATCTACTTACTTTAATGCTTAAAATTTTATTTAAAATGCTTTATTTAGAAAACCAACATAATGTTTGGTGTCAGCCTTGCCATGTACCAGTTTCACTTGAAATTTGACACCAGTTACAGTGGTTTGGGGTGGAGAAAGAGGTAACTGGAAAGCATACCTATAAGAAGAATATCTTTTTTCTATTTGCAACAGTATCCTTTATGTAGGAAGTTACTATTCAAAGGAAGGCAGCTTAAGTGGATAATATTTTATATATCATTGAAATTTTCCTTACACTTTTAAAAAATTGTATAATTGTTAAATGCCCAGTTTTGCTCTGTATTTGCCAGAAGTTTTGGTATTTCTTTTCTAAATGGACTTCTGAAAACCAAACCAGTACTTGGGGAGGTTAGGTGTGTATGTTTCCAGGCTTGGTGTGTGTGAGTGGTTTTGCTTGCTTTTTGGTTGTATTTTCCTCCAGAGGATTGGAACTTTAATCAGTAATTGTGTGTGTTATTTAAAGAAAAAAGTGGCTTTGTTTTTTTTCTCATGTAAAATTGTGAACACATTTGCTTTTCAAGGGCAGGGCATCAGTTACAGAGACTGAAGAGTGTTTTAGATTGTATTATGTGCCTTCTTGATGTGTTTCTGGACACAAAATTTTTTTCAACAACTTGAAAACTAAAAAGGGACATTTGGTTAGATTATATACTGTACATCAATCTATGCATAAATGGCAGCTTGTTTTCTTGAGCCACTGTCTAAATTTTTTCTGTTTTTATAGAAATTTTTTATACTGATTAGTTCACAGCTGGTCAGTTTTATACACAGACTAAACAATACAGCACTTTGCCAAAAATAAGTGTAGCATTGCTTTAAAATTGTGTATTAACACCAGTTCTTTGTAATTGGGTTCAGTGGTGTATTATGCACTACCTGGAGTTATGGTTATTAATCTGTCAGTAAATAAAATGTCCTTTAACTTCACATTTGTCAGATTCTTATTTTGTCTTTATGGTTGTTAGGCTTAAAACTAGGTATATCTTAAAATATTTGTTTAGTTTTACTTGTACAAAAGATGTGTTTAATATACACTTTTAAGTACTTTTTAAAAAAACTTGTATAAAATTAGTGTATTAAAATAACCATTTAAGTGAATATGAATTTGAAGGTAACTCGCAGCCAGTACTTTTTCCCTAAAAATATGTAGAGATAATTTAATACATTGGTTCTTAGACTTTTCTAAGTTAGCTTAGTGAATTCTCAATGGCTATTTTCCCACATAAATGCAAACACAATCTTTAAAAACATTTTAGGATAGCATGGACAAACCTCGTATCCACTAATGTGCCCTATTGTGGAGCTCTAGTTTAAATAGACCAGTAAACATTCAGAATGCTTGACTAGGAAGCTCAAAGAATAAGTCCTATGTTAATGAATCATTGAGGTAGGTCAATATTCTAGAACTATAACCTGTTTCAAGAGAGATTTTTATGATCTCTTAGATTCTCAGCTGATATGACAACAATATATGGGGCAGAGGTAAGGAGGGGTAACCCCAAAGATGAAAAGGTCATGAAAGTTGACTTGGGGTCTGCATGGCTGGTTCTCTAGACAGCTAAAGCAAATTGCCCCTGTACAAGGCAGAGGATTGTGACAAATTAATCAGACTTTTTTTCTTATCAGAGTTGGTGTCAGACTGAGTATTTACTTTGTGTTTTAAGATGCTAATGAACTCAGAAGTCCACAGAAACTGCCAGCAGAAACCTGGGATGGTGTCTTCAGAAAATCCAACATATAATCAAAGCAAATTAGAATTGACAAAGAACACCTGTACAGCTACTTGTACACCCTGGTCAAGGTTGAGCCTCAGCCTGAGGGTCAATCCCACCCACAAATGGGCTAACAGCAGTCAGGACTCAATTACAACAGGAGGACACACAACCTACACAAGGGATATTCCTAGAGCACCTAGCACAGGAGATCAAGGAGACTGCACCACTGGGTCCCCCAGGACACCTACATATGCCCACCCTACAAAGACTTAGGAGTCATAACAGTTCTATTGGATCCATAGAGACAGCCAAAATGGGAGACAAAGAAACAGACCCCAAATGAAAGAACAGGAGGACTCTCCAGAAAAAGCTAAATGAAATGGAGGCAAGCAATTGATCAGATACAAAGTTCAAAGTAATGGTTATAAGGATGCGCAGGGAACTTAGAACTGCAACAGCATTAAAAAGGACATAGAACCCATGAAAAAGAACCAGTTGGAAATTAAGACGATCGTATCTCACATCAAGAATACAATGGGCCCTGGCCAGTTTGGCTCAGCGGTTAGAGCGTCGGCCTGCGGTCCTGAGAGACCCGGGTTCGGTTCCCGCTAAGGGCATGTACCTCGGTTGCAGTTTGTCCCCGGCCCTGGTTGGGTCGTGTGGGTGGCAACCACTTGACGTGTCCCTTTCACGTCGATGTTTCTCTCTCTCTCCCTCCCACACTCTATCTGAACAAAAAATAGAAAAAATGTCCTTGGGTGAGGATAAAAAAAAAAAAAAAAACAGAAAAAAAAAGAATACAATGGGATGCCCTGGCTGGTTTGGCTCAGTGGTTAGAGCATTGGCCTGCGGTCTGGAGAGACCTGGGTTCAGTTCCCACAAAGGGCACATACCTCAGTTGCAGTTTGTCCCCGGCCCTGGTTGGGTCGTGTGGGTGGCAACCACTCGATATGTCCCTTTCACATCTATGTTTCTCTCTCTCTCTTCCTCTTTCTCCCTCCCACTCTATCTGAACAAAAATGAAAAAATGTCCTCAGGTGAGGATAAAAAAAAAGAATACAAGGGGAGCCCTGGCCGGTTTGGCTCAGCAGTTGGAGCGTCGGCCTGTGGTCCAGAGACCTGGGTTCGGTTCCTGTTAAGGGCGCGTACCTTAGTTGTGGTTTGTCCCCAGCCCCAGTTGGGGTTGTGCAGGTGGCAACCAGTCGATGTGTCTCTCTCACAGCAATGTTTCTCTCTCTCTCCCCCTCCCACTGTTTGATAATAACTGTAAAAATATCCTCGGGAGACGATTTTAAAAAAAGAAAACACTGGGAAGAATAAAAAGTAGGTTGGATGAGACAGAGGATCAATCAGTGATTTGAAAGACAAGGTAGAAAAGAAAAACACCCAAACAGACCAGCCAATAGAAAAGAGAATTTAGCCCTGGCCGGTTTGGCTCAGTGGTTAGAGCGTTGGCTTGCGATCCAGAGACACGGCTTTAGTTCCTGCTAAGGGCACGTATCTCGGTTGCAGTTTGTCCCCGGCCTTGGTTGGGTTGTGCGGGTGGCAGCCACTTGATGTGTCCCTTTCATGTCGATGTTTCTCTCTCTCTTCCTCTCTCTCCCTCCTAATCTATCTGAACAAAAAACGAAAAAATGTCCTCGGGTGAGGATAAAATTAATCAATTAATTAAAAATACAAAAGATCAATGAAATCAAGAACTGGTTCTTTGAAAATATAAACAAGATTGACAACCTTTAACCAAACTCATCAAGAAAAAAAAGAGGACCCAAAGAAATACTACCAGAAATGAAAGAGAAGTAACAACTGACACCAAAGAAATACAAAGGATTGTAAGAAAACATTATGAATAACTATATGTCAGCAAATTGGAAGAAATGGATAAATTCCTGGAAACCTAGAGTCTTCCTAAACAGAATCAGGAAGAATCAGAGAATCTGAATATATGGATTACAACTAGTGAAAGTAAAGTAGTAATAAAATAAAATAAAAAACTACCAACAAAACTGGATCAGGCCCTGGCCGGTCTGGCTCAGCGGTTAGAGCGCCGGCTTGCGGTCCAGAGAGACCCAGGTTTGGTTCCCGCTAAGGGCATGTACCTTGGTTGTAGTTTGTCCCTGGCCCAGGTTGGGATGTGCGGGTGGCAACTACTCGATGTGTCCCTTTCACATCAATGTTGTTGTTTTTTTCTCTCTCTCCCTCCTACTCTATCTGAACAAAATATGGAAAAATGTCCTTGGGTGAGGATAAAAAAGAAACAAAAAACTAGATCAGACAACTTCACAGAAGAACCAACACCTATCCTCAAACTATTAAAAAAATTCAGGAGAGAAAACTTCCAAGCTCATTATGAGGCCAGCATAATCCTAATTCCAAACCAAATAAAGACACTACAGAGAAAAAATATTACAGGCCAATATCCCTGAGTAACATAAATTCTAAAATCCTCAACAAAATATTAGCAAATCAGATCTAGCAATACATTAAAAAGATCATATACCATGATCAAGTGGGATTTATTCTGGGGATACAAGGTTGGTACAATATCTAAAAATCAATAGAAGTGATATACCACATAAACAAAATAAAGGACAAGAACCACATAGTCATATGAACAGATGCAGAAAAAGCATTTGATAAAAAGCACTACCCATTTATGATAAAAACTCTAAGCAGAGTGGGAATAGAAGAAATATACCTCAGCATAATAAAGGCTATATATGACAAACCCACAGCCAACATACTCAATGGGCAAAAACTAAAAGCGTTTTCCTTAAGATCAGGAACAAGACAGGGATGTCCACTTTCACCATTCTTACACAACATAGTACTGGAAGTCCTAGCCACAGGGATCAGACGGGAAGAAATAAAAGGCATCCAAATTGGAAAGGAGGAAGTAAAACTGTCATTATTTGCAGATAACATGATATTGTACATAGAAAACCCTAAAGATTCCACCAAAAAGCTACTAGACTAATAAATGAATTCAGCAAAGTGGAAGGTACAAAATTAATATTCAGAAGCTGGTGGCATTTCTATACACCAACAGTGACCTATCAGAAATAGAAACTAAGAAAATAATCCCATTTACTGTTTATCACAACAACAGAAATAAAGTACCTAGGAATAAAATCAACCAAGAAGGTAAAAGACCTGTACTTGGAAAACTATAGGACACTGAAGAAAGAAATTGAGGAAGAAACAAATAAATGGAAGTATATACTGTGTTCATGGATTGGAATAATTAGCATCATTAAAATATCCACACTTCCCAAAGCAATCTATAGATTCAATGCAATTCCTATCAAAATACCAATGGCATATTTCACAGATCTAGAACAAATATTCCAAAAATTTATATGGAACCAAAAATGACCCTGAATAGCCTCAGCAATCTTGAGAAAGAAGAACAAAGTTGGAGGTATCACAATACCTGATATCAAACTATAGTATAAGACCACCACAGTCAAAACAGTGTGGTACTGGCATTAGAACAGGCACATAGATCATTGGAACAGAAGAAAGCCCAGAAATCATATGATCAATTAATATTTGACAAAGGAGGCAAGAGTATACAATGGAGTAAAGACAGTCTCTTTAACAAATGGTGTTGGGAAAATTGGACAGGTACATGCAAAACAATGAAACTAGAACGCCAACTTATACCGTACACACGAATAAACTAAAAATGGATAAAAGACTTAAATGTAAGTCACAAAACCATAAAAATCCTAGAAGAAAACAGACAGTAAAATCTCAGACATCTCTTGGAGCAATATTTTTGCTAATATATCTCCTAGGGCAAGAGATATAAAAGAAAAAATAAACAAATGGGATTACATCAAACAAAACAGCTTCTGCACAGCAAAAGAAACCATCAATAGCCGTAGCCAGTATGCTCAGTTGGTTGGAGCATCGTCCCATGCACTGAAAGGTCGAGGGTTAGATTCCAGGTTAGGACACATACCCAGGTTGCAGGTTCAATCCCCAGTCAGGGCATGTGCAGGAGGCAACTGATAGATGTTTCACTCTCACACTGATGTTGCTCTCTCTGCCTCTCCATTCCTCTCTGTCTAAAATCAATAAAGGCATGTTCCTGGGTGAGGATTTTTAAAAATTAAAAAAAAAAAAATTGCCCGGCTCATGTGGCTCAGTGGTTGAGTGTTGACCCATGCAACAAGAGGTCA